TTGTACTTGTAGCATGGTTGATATTGTAAGGATATATCTAGCTCTTCATTCCATTTTAAATTAAGTTAGACAAATTATAAATACAAAATCATTAAAAAAATTTTCCATATTTTAGTGAAAATTATATTCTCTGCTAATTATTTTGTTTTTGAGTTTGTAATCAATTACTTGATCATATTGTGTCATATTATTTTCTTGCATATTATCACAACAAATTCGTATTGCTGTTATCCAATATTTTCTTCGTTGCTCATGCATCACAATGCCAACATGTTGACTTGTTTTTGTCCTATTGAAATCTAGGAATTGCCCCGTGCATCATGCGCACTTACAGCCATAACATTGGTATTGAGCAAGACAACCTCATGCCATGTTTACTTTCTCGAAAAACAGGTCTAGCAAACTTGATCATATTGTGGAGGTTATTGAACGATTATATGCATTAAGAGAAAAAGTGGAAATGAGTTATTATCATTAAAAGTAATTGACACAAATCCCCTACCTTTGCATCTGTTGTGGAATATTCCATATCCTTTCATTTTGAGGGAGAAATCCCTAGGTGCCCAAATCTTGCAAAAGACTCCATACTGTCCAATTCAGTTAATTTAGATCCACTTAAAAATACCAAAACTAAAAAGAAATAATTGCAGCCGCGATCCCAATTTTTTTTTTTTTGCAAATTATACCCAAACTTTTTATTTGTGTTACTCAGAGTTCCAAACCTTTAATTTCATTACAGTAAAATGACAAATAATTAAATCAAGAAAAAAAATCCCCACCCCACCCACCCACCCACCCACAAAACTTCATCTTCTTTCCCAATCCCACCCCTACCCTACCTCCAAACCAAAACTTAGAAAACTCATCGCCTTGCCACCGGCCACTACCTGTCATCGCCACCCATAGCTTGATTTGGGTCCTATCTCATGGCTACCATCACCACCTCTGCTTCCCATAACAATCTACCACCGTCTTCCTCCATCTTCATCAACGTCACCATCACCATATCTTCCATTGTCTCAGACGCCACTCGCTCTTACTCATCCGTGCTCAATAGTAGCGATGAAGCTTGTTAGTTCCAAAAAACCAGTTCAAATCTGCTCAGTCTGGTCTAGAAATTTAGACTTTGAACTCTCCATCATTAGTCGCGTCATTGATCAGTATCCTTTCATCTCGATGGACATTGAGTTCTCCAAAGTTGTCTTCTCTAATAATCCAAACCAACAATGATACTCTCATCAATCAACCACTACCAAAGCCTAGTCCAATGTGGATGCCCTCAAGCTCATTCACGTCAGAATTACTCTATTTGATGTCTCTAGTAACCTCTATGACCTTGAGCGCTTCATCTAGGAGTTCAATTTCTTAAATTTGGAGAACGACGAACATGTGCCTAAATCAATCGACCTCCTTCGCCACAAGGTATTGATTTTGACACCACCCACTAGTTTGACGCATCCATCTCATTGCTTACTGGATGCATGATATCATATGACCTTGTGTGTAACAATTGGCAAGGTTGTATTGTTGGGGACATTTAGCCATTGTTTGAGCCCCATTTCATTAAAAATATATTCTTGAACAATGATTTGACCTTATTACAATCACATATTTTTTAATAAAATAATATTACATACAAACTCAAAAATTTTTCTTATTTTTTAACAATATATTCTCCATCATAATACTATTGCAAAATGTATTTTTTGCAAAAAATAAAAATGGACTTCAAACAAGCCCTTAGTTTTGGACTTGGGCATTGGAAATATGATTTTTTTTTAACATTCTTTTTGTAGGAGAAAATCTTGATTTTGGGATGATAAGATAGAAGATGGGTGGGGAAGATGGTGGTGATGAAGGTGATGGCAAGCATGGCGGTGGGTTTTCTAGGTTTTGTTTTGGATGTGGGGTACGGTAGGGTGGGCTGGGATTAGGGAAGAAGATGACGTTTCCAGGGTAAGGATAGAGGTGTCAATCGGGCCGAGCCAGGTCGGCCCGCCAACATATGAGCCTGGTAATGGTCCGCGTGAAAAAAAGTTTGCTCGCTACGGGTTCCGGGTCTGCCCACAAATTTTGGATTACAACCTAGGCCCGCCCGCTAACCCATCCGAGTTGAGCCCATACGGGTCGCGGGTTATTCAAAGAATTTTTTATATTGATAGCAGTTTTTTTTTTTT